TGTAGTCGTCAGTGAGAAGGGAGTGACTTGATGGTGGCCTGATTCTGTGAGGTACCTGTGACAATCAGCAGCATAGCATTAAGGACCCCAAGGTTACGGAACTCCTTGCTGGTCTGAATGATCCCCAAAACATCACAGTACCGAATACCTTCAGCTTTCATCAGAAGCAGTTGAGGATGCTTGGTTCCTTGAGGGATCAGGCGTCCAGTCTTTTTTTTTGGGGGGGGGGAACCTGGTGAGCGAGATTGCGAATGAGTGAAAAACATAATGAATGAATGTATATTTTCCTCACTGATGTAAATGTGCATGGTGTTTTGGGTAGCTGCACATAGGTGACACTACTCTTGATGGCCAAATCTTCTTTACACCTTGTCAAGCCATCTTTACCCTTCTTGTTAAAGCTGGTAACAGAAGAGAGGCCCAGCAGATCTGGTAGCCTTTTTGCTGTGCTCTGGTGTTTCTGGTGTGAAACCCTACATGCTGGAGTATAATACATTTTGGAGATAACTGTCTTGGAGCCTGTACAGGCCAGGATGGTTGTCTGTTTTGATTTGAATGTGTAATTGCATGCAAGCATCCAGAGGCAAGAAATGGCCCTAAGATGTTAAAGACAATGTTACTATACTGCATATGCATAGGTGGGCCAAGTTATATTCCATGCATAGATTTCCCCCCCCCCCTTTTTGGTGTATCCATGTAATATGATTTATTACAAGCATACAAGCAAGTTTTGCCAGTTGAAGAAGTAGCTCAAAGCAGTTCAGTTTGCTGTATTTATTGTATTAATTTCAGGAATGCACTGTAGCTATCAGTCGCTGAACCAAAGACAATATCACAGGGCTTGAAATATCTTCTAGTTTGAAAAACAGGCTTATTAACCGCTGGCTAATGCACATACAGATAGGGGACTCACAAGGTTGAAGGGTGCCTGGTAAGAAACCTACATCAAGTTGCTGGGAAATGAGGTAATACTGGACTTTCTATCAGAGTGCTGACCCTGCTCCAAGGTTCCATCTTTTGTGTCAGCTTCTGCCTACTAGATGCCTGATGCGTTTGAAGTGTCTCTTCCACCACACTATCTCCTGTGGTTGCTGTAAAGGAGAAGGATCTTTCATTTCTCTTTGCTCCTCTTCTGCCCACTAGTCTCCTGATTGCTTTAGGGAGGAGAGAGGACTTTTATCTGGGTGCTGGAATGGTGGGAGATAGTGTTTTCACTATTGCAACTCTCAGCTGTTGAGAGGGGAATTGAGGGTTTGTCTCCACTACCATACCCTTCCCCATGACTTTTTTTCAAATCCTCT